TTTCTGGTCTCATTGACTTCAATAGTAGGAAAAAATATACTATGGAGGTCAATATAAGTATACTAGTAAACTGTCGGAAATCCTGCATAGTGTGCCTTTAACAGTATGTAACCGTTGTATATCGCCAGTTATTAATTCAAAATCACCTAATAGCTGCATATTTATACTCTAGAGTGCTTTGACACGCTACTACCACAGCGCATAATATGAAACGTATGAAAATGTATAAGTTGTTGTTACGTTCCCGTATCGCGTGTGTGTTCTTGTGTTTTTTCTTTCCCGCTTTCTCTCTCTCTCGGTTACTTTCACTTTTGTAGGTACCCGTGATTGGCCAATTGACCGGTCAATCATCGTTGGCGCTGACATCACCTCTTTTCGCCATCGCCACCAGGAACAGGCCACCTGGGGAATAAGAGTGCACGCCAGACGTCTCCACGGAAGCTCTCGGCTCGCTGAGACTCAAACCACGCTGCTCTCTGTCACTGTTACGCTGCTCCTTTGTATACCCTGTTGAGGTTATGGTTCTCGTTCACTCGGTGTGATGTTAAGTTGTATGAGTGAACGCTCCCTGTGTTGACTCTCTGATTGTATGTGACCTGCTCTACAGAGCTCTGTAGGTTACTAGTATGGAGAAGAGATAGACAGATAGCATGTCACGTGACATACACTGCACCACGCAGGGGTTTTCGATTCTGTCTAGTACACTAGGGTAGGGTAGGCGAGCGCCACACCTTGTATTTCTGCTTCTGTTAGTTAGTGGAGACTAGATAGGGCGTCTTGGACGCTGAAGATTATCATTTTCTTCTTTATTTTCTTAGTTAGGATTAGAGGTTATTTAACAGCTAGACTTCATTTGGTTTTGTTCTTTTCTTTTCTTTGGCGCCGTCCACGTCTATCTTTTCTTATTATTAACTTTATCCACCTTACAGAAATTCTGTATAACATGTCCATTTTTATATTTATGTTAATCTATATTCATATAGATTAAATTCTCTTCACTTTTGCCACTGACCTTATTTGTTAAATAAAGGTTTTGGCTTTTTGCACAGTAAATCTGGTTGTAGAGTGTTTTTTGTACAACTCATGGTTTATGTAGGTTTCTCTATAATGTCATCTTTAAAATGTTGGACTCCCGAACCCCTGGACTAACTCGGGGGGCGTAACAATTGTATTAATTAAAATTACTTTTATCAAAGCTTCAAATTCCTAATAAACAGGTGTAATTCTGCCAATGGCTCCCTGTATGTACAGTACACAATTAGTTGTTTATAAAAACAGTACTGTAATTCACCTAAAGATTTTTTTTCTTCATGTCCCAAAGCTTGTGGTTCCTATTGACCAGACTGACGTATTACCTGTGAAATTGTGCCAATACCTTCCTGTAATTCTGCAACTCACCAAATGGTTTTATTCTTATTTATCAAATTACAGTATAATAAATTATATGTTTTAACCACTTGGAATTGGCAGACGTTCCCTCAGGGATCATGCACTGTGGAAGCGAGTCAAAGCATTCTCGAATATAAATACACAACTATAATTCATTCGTTGTGTTGTGGCTTCATTTCCATTGTGTTGTGAACTTATGTTTGCTTTTGTGCACTACTGGGCCACCGTACTATTGGCTTGTTAGAGCTGCTTGTCAGAAGAATTTGAATTTGTTACTATTGTGAAGCTGCTGCGAAACAATCTGTATTCTGTATTGTATAAAGCACTATAGAGTTCTTCTAGAAAAAGAGTTTTACTTCCTATAATAAGCAAGCTTATACATCACAGAAAGTGCTGGAATATTTAAGTTCTCATCTTGTTTTATTTCAGACCTTCATAAACACATCAAACTTAAAACATTGATGAGTCAAACATGTTCTGTAGCTTTACAAAAGAAATATGCTACAACTTCTGAAAAAAAGAATAAATAAAATATACAAATATAAAATGTGTGCTTCCTATTTTACAGCTTTTCGATGATGTTCACGTCGTGTAATCACGTCACTTCATAATGTTCCCATGGCAACAGGGGGAAACGGGCTACTCTCGTGTGAAGCAAACGCAACAATTTTCAACTTTCTGCTAAGATTTATGTGACTTTTTAACAACAAAAATGCGGAGATTATGAAATCATGCAAGCATCGCATATTTTGCGTGGAAATCGCCAATTCATGCAGCGAAAGTGTGGCGTATTTGAAAAAATGAAGATGCAGACTTTGGCTGATTATGCACTAAATCACGTGATCGCATAATCATGTTTTACTGGAGGGACTGACTATAGAAATAAAGGTGACTTTACAAAATAAATAGAAATGCAAGGATGAAAAATGTATTTGTTTCTCAAAGAAATGTAGTTAAGTGATCAATTTTGTTTTCTCACATGATCATAGGTAATCGGGAAATGATTGTGCCGTTTAAATGGCAGTTGTTTTCTAAATGAAACACAAGATCTATTAGTTTTGAGTGTGATGTAGAGAACTGTGTTTAGAGTTATGCTAAAAGTTTTTTTTTTCAATGCAAACTGATTGTAAAGCAGAAAATGTGCTTGCAGTTTTGCAGACTCGATCTGAAGATTCGGTACATGACTGAATGGTTTCACTGAATGACTCTCAAGTACCACTTTTAGTGTGTAAGCAGTCTGAAGAAAAACAACCTGAATATGGTGTTCAGTCATTTTGAGATGTATTGATTATAATTCACATTTATTTGTAAAGTGCTTTTCACAATACATGTAGTTTCAATTCAAAGTAGCTTTACAGAAAATACATAAGTCCACTACAATTTAGAGTGATTGTTATCAGAGGAGACTAAGTTATATATATATATATATATATATATATATATATATATATATATATATATATCTCAGAAATGTACATATACAAATCACACAGTTAGCTAAAGATTTATTAATTTAAATCAATATATTAATTTAGAGCAATAACAATGAGCTCATTGAAATAATGAATTCATGTTTTAACTAATGATTATATAAGTATATGAGTATTGGTGGATGTTGATTCAGTTTTCAATGAAGAATTTACAGAAAGTAAAATGTTGAGTTTGTTTGAGAAACACTCACCTTCAGAAAGTCCCCAGAAGACAAAAGCAAAGAACAGGATCATATTTGGACAGACGACTAGAGACAGATGAAGACGGAGGAATGAATCTAGAGAGAAATAGAAAATAACTGCAGTTTAATTAAATGAGCAGATTAAGATTTAATTATATATTTATAATCGTTTACATATGTCCATTTATTAATTTTGTGGACATTTATCTAAAGCAACTGACAAATAAGGAATATATAGCTTTTCATCCATCATCTATTTCATAATAATATTCACTAATCAGTCTCATTTAAATCAAATAATGTTAATTTATTAAAAGCCCTAAATTAACTTGCAAAAACTTGCCCTAAATTAATACAACAAAGACAATATTTTCTTAAAGTTCAAGGCTCACAAAAAAAAGATTTCTAAATCCTTTTAGCCACTATAAGGGAGGCACTGAAATAAATCCACAAGCTTTAACTAACTAACTAACTAACTGACTGACTGACTGACTAACTAAGGCTACGTTCACACTGCAGGCTGAAACGACCTAATTCCGATTTTTTTGCTCCTATGCGACCTGTATCAGATTTTTTCATGACAGTCTGAACGACACAGATCCGATCTTTTGAAATGCGACTTCAATCTGAACGGCCAGGTCACATATATCCGACCTGCACATCATTGCACACACCTGTAGAACGTTTCTGCACTGTTATGTGCCGCCGCAGACGTGTCTCTTCCGCAGTGTTGTGCCTGAACGCGTTCATATTTTGGGCGAACGTGAACTGAACGTACTGTATTACTGCCTGATGAACATTACTGTGAACACATTCATTCTGGTGTCTGTGAACATGCGCTCTCTGTCAGTTTAACTTCGTACAGTAGGGTGCCAGATTTCTATAGAGCCTTCCAGGCGAAAACCTTGCTTAAACACATGTAAAAATGCCTTAAAATGTAGCGAAAAAACACCCAATCTGGCAACACCAGCCACCAGTGTCGCACATAGGTGTCGCACCGCGCCCGCCGTCGACAAAGCAAGGAGCGCCGAGGATGCGCGTTTTATGACGAGGTCGGTGAGGATCGGAAAAATCTTACATTTGTGTGCAAACTTTGCCTGTCGATAAAATAATTGTTGTCTGTGTTTGTATATGGGCTGTGGCAATAATAATAATAATAAAACAAAAGCTCGCAATTATGGAAAAAAAGAACTATTCTGCAAACAAGTGACGTCGTTGACCGTTGATTACTCTTCTGCGTATGCGGGTCACTTCTGGGTAATTTCACGTTCACACAGGAGATCACAAAAGGTCGCATTTAATTGGAAATGTGAACGGCCTTGCAAAAAAAATCTATTTTTTTCAAAAAATCGGAATTGAGCATTATGCCCTGCAGTGTGAACGTAGCCTAACTAACTAACTCACTCACTCTTTATGTCGCTGCAAATACGTTTGGTCATGACTTCCTTGTTCACTTACTGAGTAGTCTTGGTTCCACATTATTTTCAGTTGATAACACACTCTTCCGTTTGCTGTAAACTGTACATGTATATTCTCCTTCATCTTCAGCTCTCAGATTGTCCAGACGGAGGGAGAAGTTTCCATGTTGAATCTGATCAGTAAAGAAATGAGCTCTGTCCTGATAATCCTGCTGCTGGGCCTCTGCTCGACTCTGATACAGATGAACCAGAGCATTAGTGTCTGTTCTTCTCCACTCCACCTTCAGATCCTCCACTGTTAAAGGTTCATCAACATAACAGCGCAAAATCACTGAAGATCCCAGAGGAACAACCGGAGAAGTAGAGGAAACTTTCACTGTAAAATGAACAAAAAAAGATTAAAAAGAAATGAAATAAACATTTTGCTCATAACGTGAACTTCTGTTAAAGCAAAATAAAAGTGAATGGTGTTTTGCCAATAAAATAATTATGCAATATTCAATTACTGTATTTCTTCTTAATGCACTTTTCTTTTAATTATAAGTTTAAATTTAGTTTGAAAACTTGACTTTTCTAAAAAAGATAAAGTTTCAATACACTAAACACAAACATTTTTATTGTTGTGTTTCTTCCTGTGCATTTGTGGTCATCAGACAAACTAGCAGAGCAGAAGTGTGATCCAGATGAACCATGGGTAATTGTACACTACACTACAGGAAGTTTTTCAGTTGTTGTGTGTATTTGAGTATATTGCTGCCAATAACAGACACTGAATGATTCCAGAGAGTTTGATATTTGATCATATTTTGAGAATAAAGTGAGAACAGCACTAACAACAGTAGAAGAGCCACGGATTAATGTTATTTTTACTTTCTTGTGATCTTACCTTAATTTTCTTGTGATCTTGACATAACAAAAAAATTATAAATAATGTGTAATATATTTAAAATAAGCTTTGAAATTAACCTAAAATTAACCTAATCATTTTATTTGTGTAAAATGATCTTAGCGCTCCTTTGATTTTACCCACTTTTTAAAAATGTTAAATAACGTTATATTGTAAAATTGTATATACGCAACTTATTCATATTTTATTGCTCATAATATAATTAAGGCACAATATGTAAAATGTTTGCATTAAAATATCAAAAATTGAATTGTGTTCTTATACAGTATCCCAAATGTTTCGAACAAATCCAAGAAATTTGCAGTTTTAACGTTTCGTGTCATCACGTCACATGCACTGATCTAATATACACTTACATTTATTCATTAAGCTGGCGCTTTTATCCAAAGCGACCTACAATTGCTATATATGTCAGAGGTCGCACGCTTCAACTAGGGGTTAAGGGCCAATCCCAATTCTACCCCTTACCCCTTCACTTTACCCTTCCCCTCCGTTTTGCGCGTCCACGTGAAGGGGTAGGGTTGTCCCAATTCTCTTTTGGTTGGAGGGGGAGGGCTAGGGTGAAGGGCCAGATAGCCCTTCAAACGAAGATTTTTCGGGAGCACACTTCAAACGAAGGGGTATGAGAAGTGTCACTGCTAATCCAGGCTGGCTGCCCAAGCGACAAAGGAGACCCATAAATTTAAGTATTTGTGGCTTTAATAAGTATTGTAACGACAAACAATGATTTGCTTTATGTTACATTCAATATTGTGTTCATATTTACGGTCAGTTTCTTCACAGAAACGTTTGTTAAAAAAAAAAAAAAAAAAAAAAAAAAAAAAAAAAAAAATCGCTAAAATTACTGTAGTTTGCTAACGATAGTCCCGCAGCATATTTTCGTCGTCTCCGTTGTTTCGTCGTCTCCGTGTGTGTTTGTGTTTTCCTGTGCAAATTTTATTTGTTCTGCTTACACACTTTATTTCTCCTGTCTTTCAGTGGATTTGGTTTCCAGAACAAACCTTGGTGGTGACTGCCTTGATCAACATGTCTTCCTACACTTTGTACATACTGTAAGCGGTTGCTTTTTGTTTTTGTAATTGTATATTCATTGTAATTGTTTATTGTAACTTATTTGAGTAAAAAACACTGTTGCAATTACAAATGTTATTTATATATACTGTATATATATATATATATATATATATATATATATATATATATATACAGTATATATATATATATATATATATTATTCATTAGTAAAACAATCACTTTTGGAATGTATAAATGAAGTGAGTTTTTTTCACTGTTTTTGCTATTATAAATGTTAAAAATAAAGAGTATTTTGTTAAAATGTTGTGCTGATTTTACCCAGTTTTTTAAAATGTTAAATAACGTTATATTGTAAAATTGTATATACGCAACTTATTCATATTTTATTGTTCATATTATAATTAAGGCACAATATGTAAAATGTTTGCATTAAAATATAAAAAACTAAATTGTGTTCTTATACATTATCCAAAATGTTTCGAACAAATCCAAAGAAATTTGCAGTTTTAACGTTTCGTGTCATCACGTCACATGCACTGATCTAATATACACTTACATTTATTCATTTAGCTGACGCTTTTATCCAAAGCGACCTACAATTGCTATATATGTCAGAGGTCGCACGTCTCTCTCAACTAGGGGTTAAGTGTCTTGCTCAGGGACACATTGGTGTCTCACAGTGGATTCGAACCCAAGTCTCTCACACCAAAGGCATGTGTCTTATCCACTGCGCCGTCACCACCCACATTACATTTGTTTCTGTACACTTGTTGTGTAGTGTCTGAGTTGTGTGATGTGATTCTCCATCAGTTTCACTCGACTGAACGCGTTTAATATTGGAGCTGGACGTGTAAATTATCATCATTATTATTATTATTATATTTAGATGCTGAAACTGATAAGGGACCATCCGAGTAAAATTGTGAAAGATTTGTAAATCTTCTGATGGTTGTTCTCTTCATAAACTCAATAATCGCCTTCTTCCCCGTCGCAGAAACCACAGCTTCACACACAGCCTCTTTCCGTTCACTCGCCGTCTTTTCAGGCAGAGAATGACACGCAAACACACTAGTAACGGTAATATTTTGATTGCTTACAGGATCATCCGTTTGTCTTTACACAGAGGGGTCAAGTTTAACGTTCAAGTCATGCACAATTCTTGAATGAGTTTATAACACATTTGATCTCATAGATAACAGTTCCTTCTGTAAGTGTGTTATTTAGCCTGTTGAATTTTCTTCAGAGTATTCAGCTGCAACGAGAGGTTTTGCAAAAACACTTAAAAAAATGTGAATATACGTTTATTTTGCCTTATTTGAATCTAAAAAAGGAATCAATAATTATCAGAATAGATAGAATCATAATCATAATCATAATGGCTCAAATCCAAACGATACCCAACTCTATCTCTAATGCAGGCAAACATGTACTATCGCATCCAGGAGAACATGTTAAGATTCATATGGAGATGATTTACTGTGAGACTGGAGAATTACACCAGTAATGTATGAGCTGATTACAATATTTTACACTCATATTTATGACTGGATTTACATTGACTAGTTATTATGTGATAATGCAAATACTGTAAATAATCAACCAATGGAAATAATGTATTGATTACAGACTTCTTTTCTGTTTGATCTGTTCACTTACCGCTTAAAAAGTAAGACCCTAGGGAGAAAGAAAAACAATAACAACATTTCAGTCAAAGTTAACAAAAGCTTTACAATGCAACAGGTTAAATGTTTAGTAATCATTATTAATTATTAAGATGATCTTAAATTATTTGTTCTTTAGCTATTATCAGTGATAATTTTAGTATCTTCTGCTGTTTCTTAATTTCTGTTGTTCTTTTAATTTGAACAATTACACAACCAGTTTAAACACAGCAGCCACAAAGAGCATCTGGACACTTAAGACACATTTAAACATGTCTGGATGTTAATACAGTAGATATCACAGCAAAAACAAAGTTTAAAGGGGTCATGAACCCAATTTTTAAAAATTATTTTATAATGTTTCCTGAGATGGACTTATAATGTTAGTATGAAATTGTCATAATTGTAGAAGGCCTTAATCTATTGCAGTGATGTCTGTGAAATTATTTGTTAAGTTCATTTTATTTATATATTCAGTGAAGTTTCAGTTTTATAAATAGAAATAAATGCAGTTCATCATTGCCCCAACACTCCAGAGGTGTCACTCCAGACATCCAGAGGTGTAAAGTCCAGGGGCCTCATGTACAAAGACTTGCGTTGAATTCATACTAAAACATAGAGTACGATCAAAGCTGTAAATGTGCGTACGCACAAAAAAAAAAACCAGATGTATGAATGTCTGCGTACGAAGGATCCCACGCATATTCTCTTTGTACATCCCAATTAACGTAAAATTGAGCGCACATGCACGAGCACAACGCCCCACCCAGTCTCCTCCCTCAATTAAATTAATTTAAATATGGTAATAGTCCAATTTGGCAAAAGAAACCTGCAAGGAAATGGCTAAAGAAACCTGCAAGAAATGAAATTCCACTGAAAATGTTTTCTATGTGAATATATGTGAAAGTGTAATTTATTCCTGTGATCAAAGCTGAATTTTCAGCATCATTACTCGTCTTCAGTGTCACGTGATCCTTCGGAAATCACTCTAATATGATGATTTGATGATCAAGAAACATTTATGATTATTATCAGTGTTGAAAACAGCTGTGCTTCTGCTTCATATTTTCATGGAAACCGTGATATAGTATTTTCAGGATTCTTTAATGAATAAAAACTTAAATCAAACACATATAGAAATCTTATAATCGTTTTTAACATTATAAATGCATGTACGGGCACTTTTAAACAAATTCAATATGTCCTGGCTGAATAAAAATGTTACTTTTTTTTTTTTTTACCTTTACTGACCGAAATAATGAAGTTTAATTTTTATTTCCTATAGTAAAGCCAACGCTGCCATTGCTAGACGGGTTTGCACATGCTTTATGTTCTTACTTTATTGCATAATAGAATATTTTAATAAGACTCGTTTGACATAATTTGTAATTGATACATTATTTGACATATCATTAAGCAATATCTGACAGCTGGTGGTGCGATAGAACAATTCGTAGAGTAATGTTTGCCACTTCACCTTATTGCCTCTAGGAGTCGCCAACGGACAAATCAAGGCAAATGTACGTACGCCAGACATGAAGTTTACTTGGAGGAACGCACATTCTTCCGTTAATTTCACTGTTAGTACATCTGGCCGTGAACGTGAAAGCTGGCGTACGCCGTGTATTTGTACGTACGCAGTGTTGATACATGAGGCCCCAGGAGTCAGGAAAAGTCCTGTCATATGTTGTTTATTCCACTCATAAACTGATAAATTAGCCAGCTGATTCACTAATTAGTTCTCATGTCTGAAAACTGTGCTAATTAGCTAATCCAGGTGATTGGAACAAGGCCTTTACTTCCTGAACCTGCAGGACTTTACACCTCTGCTGATCTGAAGTCAGTTTAAAGGGGCGTGTCTGTGTGAGACTCCAGTGTAAACGCCCACTGCTGTGATTGGCTGACAGATTCGCATATGAAATAGCTAGTATTACATGTGAAACTCTTTAGAAATGTTTTAGCACATTTTTACTATTGCAGCTGTGGAGATGAACTAATCGTGCTGATTATAGCTCTATATTTAAATCTACTCTGTCTCATGAGAGGTTGCAGTGATGAGCATTAGCAGAATACAGTGATCTCGTCATTGCAGCTCGATTTATAAACACCTGTATCATAACTAACAGATAACTGTAAATAAGATTCATTGTGCAGTGTGGACAGCCTCCTTGATTTTAACGGGAGTTTTGGCGAGAGTCCTGAACTCATTCACTGATGAACTCGTGCTGTTTGATTGACAGCTCCAGCGATTATAAAGGGAGCGTTCTTTGATCACTTTCTGTATATAATTTGATCACAATTTAAATAACAGGTTATTTTCATGCTACTAAGAGACACAATGTTACAATAAGCGTTGATTTACTACTTTGATTTATTTCATTTACTTTATCATTTGTTTATAGCGCTATGACAATATTGTCGTTTCAAAGCCGGTTTACAGAAAATGCTTGTGTCTACATTATAATCTGTTGAGAAATGGACATCACTTGGACAGTCATGATAACTCTGTACAGTTCAAGATAATATAAATCATGCAGTTAACTAACATGAATTAATTTTGGGGCAGACACAATGAGCTCTTTAAGCAATTATTACAAGATGCAATTATTAAATAATAATAATAATATAAATGATTCTGAGCAAAAGAACGTCTGACGGTACATGAAGCATTACATATCAGAAATCATCAGAAGCATTTACGTGGATTTGATTACAGTCCGTTTAAAAGTTCTCTCCGAATGAAATGCCTCATGTAAACACCTCAATCGGGAAAAAATCCCTCAAACAACTGAAATCATGAAATATGTTTGTGAGAGGTTTAAACCTTTTCTAATCTGTTAGATAGGATTAATAAACACTTGATTGGATGTAAAACCGAAACTGGAAAGTTTTGCGCATGTGCAATAACGTAGAAATGGTATAATGACGCACACAACGAGCTGATGTTGTTGTTGAACATAAAAATGACTTCCGTGTCAATCTAAACTTGTCTCTCCACTCATCATCTGAGAAGAGTTGCAGTGCACCTGTCCCGCCAGTGCTTACACCAGACTCTTATCTGCACACGCCTTGTTTTGGCTACGGGATTGGGCGTTTTTACATGTCAAAAGATTAAATAACATTTGAAGCTTGTGAAATATAAAAGGTGTCCATGTAAACGTAGTTACTGATCACAGATCAGGCTTTAGAATCAACATGTCGTGGCATTGCTGTCGAGTATATATACTGTAAAAGTCTGTTTACAAAGCCTGAAATTGAGACTAATTGACCAAAGAATCCTCAGTGAAATGTACCGAACAAACAAATGATGCTCTACACTAAAAAAGTCCTGCGGTTTTTCCACAACCCAAATGCTTGAGCCTGTTCTTCAGTGTGTGTGTAGTTTTTGTGTGATGTTTTGTGTTAGCACGCGTAGATCTGGTTCTACATGGTCTTTCATCACTATTACATCATAAAGTGACATCATCAGAAATAAGTCGTTTTCAGAGCTTGGTTTGTATGAAAGTTGTTTTCGGACTAAAAGGAAGTTTTGAGTTGTGAAACTTACATATTTTGTGTTACAATGACCTCTTATCAAAATATTAATGAAAACTGATTTCTCGATTCATAACCCCTTTAAAAAAGTGAATGTGGTTTGAAATGTTAAGAGAATAGATTTAGTGTTGAAAACCAAAGTATAAATATTCAGTCATTTTGCATTAGTGAACCTCTGGTGAAATTGAGTTTAAATTGTGCTTTAAGTGCTGAAACACTTTTTTTCGTTGGCCACTGTATGTTTGACAGGCTTATTTGCATAAAATCATTTTATTGACATTTTATGACTGAGCTTGCTTTACGGCAAAGTCTGTAAAGACTCATTTTATAATGGTTAAAACTGCATCAACTTTTATTGATCTATTCACTTACCCTTTTCCACAGTAAACTGAGTTGATAACACACTCTTCTGTTTGCTGTAAACTTTACATGTATATTCTCCCGCATCTTCAGCTCTCAGATTGTCCAGACGGAGGGAGAAGTTTCCATGTTGAATCTGATCAGTAAAGAAATGAGCTCTGTCCTGATAATCCTGCAGCTGGGCCTCTGGTCGACTCTTTCCATCTTGATACAGATGAACCAGAGCGTTTTTCTTGTCTGTTCTTCTCCACTCCACCTTCAGATCCTTCACTGGTAAAGGTTCAACACTATAACAGCACAAAATCATTGAATCTCCCAGACGAACAACTGTGTCTTGAGAATATGTCACAGTGAACCCTGAAAAATAAATGCAGGAGGTTTTGAATGTGAAGTATCTTGAAGGGGATATCTATCTCTCTATCTATCTGTCTGTCTGTCTGTCTATCTGTCTGTCTGTCTGTCTGTCTGTCATTGCAATTAATTTCAATTTAAGCTGTAATTTAAAAGGAATTATCAATTTAATTCTGAATGTTACACAACCTTACGGTTTACATGTCATTTAACTGTGTATCGTATCGTGTTAAATTGGTTATGTGTGCTCATGTGTCTTTCCCCAGAGAGCAACATAGTGTCGACCCAGTTCCTACATTTGCAGGGATGGGCAGTATTTCAGATACATGTATTTAAAATGCCTACTTGAAATATAAAATACTATTTTGTATTTTAAAGCGTTTAGAAAAAGTCAAATGTAATTTGTATTTAAATACATTTAAGATGAGTAACTCTTTGTTTTCGAAAATACATAATACTTTTTGCCAGTCAACCTCTCTATCAGGTTTTGTGTATCAGCTAATTCACACACGCATGCTAGGCCTGGGTGATATGACACTATCTCATAGCGATGATATGAAGTGTGAATCGATGGAACTTTTTTATTAAATCGTTTACAAGATAGGCCTATCTGTGGTGTAAGCAATCTGTGTATCCGCGCAGCTTTTAGTGGGCAGGAATTATCTGAACGTTTTTTGAGTGGAAAATGAAGCACTGATGAATGATACACCAAAACATTCTTCAGCTTTTAGTTTTATTGTTAAAAATAAAACTTTGGGTGAATAGTGTCAAATTAATCTAAATGAATAGAAATAAACTTTCTAATTTTAATAAACCTGGAGAAACAAATTAACCTTACATAAAAAATGCTATCCTTAAAAAGCATTGGACCTGGACCAGCAAAAAAACAAAAACCTCAAAGAGTTTGAAATTCAGTTTTTGCTGTGGTATCAAAACTAATATTGAGAATTGCGAAACCATATATATTGTTACTGTGAAGTAAAATTAAGAATTTGGTCATATCGTCCATTCATATTCTTTGCTAGATAGAAAAGGTTCCCACAGTTTTACACACAGTATGCCTATGCAGTTTATAATGTGTGGCGAGTGTGACACTATTTCACCAGCACTGGTGTGGCTGCTGCTGTCCTGGGGCCTCATCTATCACCGTTGCGTACTAACAAAACAGGACCTGAAAGTGGGGTACGCCACTTCTGACTCACAAGTTGTAATTTATAAAATCAAACTTGACGGGAAGATGTGCACACCAGTGTATAGGCCCCATGGCCCTAAGGGACGTGGTGGTGGAAAAAAATTTTAGGAAAGGACATTTTTTTCTTTTTCAAATTTTTTTCGTTCCCGTGCAAAGTTTAGTTTCCTTGCAAAGATATTTGCATTCCCACGCAAAACCGGTTGGGAGCTCAGACAGACACTCAATGTTTAATGTCCGCTGGCAGTGTTTCAGAACTCCATACATTAATGGAGCGTTTCATAGTGTTTGAACTTGGACTCCAATAAAAAGAAATGTGGTCAGTGCCAACTCAGGGAGTTATTTCAGAGTGGCTGTAAAGCCAAAACAATCTCTGTTACTTTAATTTCCCATCATCACAGTGAGGCTTCTTTGAAACCATCTATATTGCTTTATAAATGAAGGTAACTTGACTTGAAAAGTCTTACCTCAAAAAAAAATCATTAGTTCAAGGTGTAAGTCATTGAATGCAAAATGATTAAACTAGTTTCCATAATGTGTGTCAATTTTCTATGCAATATCATTGTACTGAGGTTTGTAGTCAGACTAGGGCTGGGCGATATGGCCAAAAAATCATATCTCGATATTTTTTGGTCAAATGGCGATATACGATATATATCTCGGTACTTTCTAAGTTTTCTATTTAGATAAAGAAAATCTTTATATTTAAAAAAAATAAAATAATATATATATATATAGGCTATATATATATATATTCACATTCGGCCCAATGATATCCTACAAACAATGTTGATATTGAAGGATATGGAAACAAATATAATATAGGCTATGCAATATATTATGTGCAAAAAGCTTTTGTTTTTATATTGACTAGAAGCTAAACTAAAAATGAAAATAAAAACAAACAAAAGCACAAACTAATTATATTAGCCTGCATTTGATTACCCCATTATAATCACTTTCACTTTAATTAAAAATATATACTTGTAGGTTTAAAATTCCACATATGGCACATTTATTTTCTCCAACAACAAATATTTTAGCAATATGTTTATTTTAGTCAGAATTATTGCGTACTACGTAGTACTATTCACGCGCATGCGCGCGCCGGCGCTCGTTCAAGGAAGCATGAATTTTAGCGGAGATTCACTTGCAGAAGCTCGTCCTCTTCTGACATGGACATATTTGCTTTACTTTCTAACATTTACAGATGGAGAATATACCTGTGAAATGTAAGTTGAGCACTGAGGAAAGCACCACATCTCAAACGCATTAAACAGCGCAAGTATATCTGTCAGTCAGCAACAGTGTCTGTCAGAGCATTTGACAGGGCGGCAAGCTGCCTTAAACTTGTTAACTATATCAAAGTGATTTTGACGCAATTAATATAAGCTTGTGTCATGTTTAGGACAAATTGTACTACGTAGCCTAGCTACTTTCACTGCAGCAGCTCACACTGCAACCTCTGCTATTTTTCAGATGTGCTCATATCAAACTACTGTATCGATATAAACGGTATTGCCTCATTCCATATCGTTTAAAAAAATATAACGATACATCGTACATATTCGATATATCGCCCAGCCCTAAGTCAGACCACCTGTAAATCCTGTCCCTTGCAATCAAAACCCTACATTCAGTAATGTGTACATTTGCACTGCAGAAAATGTTATATGGCATATATTTTCTGTATATATTTGATACTTTTTTGGTATCAAAGCCATAGTTTAGTTCATAGTTCTTCTCTAATCACCTTTGTTTCCTTTGTTATTGTCTTAATTAAAGTTAAAGCTGCATAGACCCACTCCTCCTCACCTCTCTTTGCCTGAAGCAGTAAATGGTATTTAATTAATTGTAGATTTCTGCTTGGTTCACTGGTAACAGAGACTTTTGCTTATTTGATATGGGCTCTTTGTGTTACTGAGGCCCAAACAACATTCCTATTATCTTTCACATTGGCATATAATGGCACAACTTTACATGCACTTTTTCTTTTACCTCTTCAGCAAGAAAAGTGTAATTTGTCTGTTTATGGGATAGATTAGGATGAACTACAGTTTCTGTTTTTGCCAATGTTTGTGAGGTGTGTGCCATCAGTGTTTTGAAAGATGTGTTTAAATGTGGTTGTAGGAATTTAGTAGTAAGTAAATTAGCACAATGTTACATCTTTTTTTTTTTTGAATGAAAAATCTGAACCCATGAGCACGTTTCAGACTAAGACCTCAGTCTTCCGTTCTCACGGGGTATTTGATCATTTCACCATCATCCATTAATTTTCCGTTGTTTTTGACACCTTTTGAATGTTTAATTGGCTTTATGCCCAGCTGCACTACTTCCTGAACTTCAGCCAATTGAGTTCATCTTTACTGTGGGCTGGTCTGTTATTCTTGTATCATGTTGAAAGTTTGTTCATGTAAAAGTCTGGCTATTGGGGATTAAAGCCTCACTGAACCATTAACTCTTTCCAACATATTCTGTTTAGGCTGTTTTATTATTATTAACAAATATCTATTGTCTTCTCTACTTTCTCTGAATCTACAAGCCCCAATTGGACTACAGCAAATAAGAATATTTGTACCCGTATGTGATATGCAGAAGATCAGACAGCAGAGCAGAAGTGCAGATCCAGATGCAGCAATCGAGAGAACCAGCACCATTATATGTAAAGCAGAGAAACCTGTGAAACACAGACATCAGTTACTGAACACAGGAGTTATGGGGGAAATTTCCTTCTCTATTACCAAGAAAGTATATTGTTTATTTGTGCATGTATTGTTGTATTATGTATTGTTTTTAACACACACACACACATTTATTTCCATATATTTATGATCAATATATTACATGGTTTGAATAGATTGAAAAATATATATGAAATAATATATAACGTTAATATGTTACAATATATTGAATAATACACAAAGAATTACGGCTTTTCATATATTGAATAATATTAAACGATATACTTACTATGTTATACAATGTAAAATATAATTAGAGTTTACCCCGGAAACTTGAGGAAACCCATTGCATTCATTTTCTCAAGCATGTTTTTAGTCCTACATTTTTAATACAAATCCATACAAACAGAATGTTGGGACTGTAACGGTTACCAGCTGGAGTGCCCTCTTGAGCCACCAGAGGGCACTCCAGATAAGACTATGTTTCACACAAACTACATTTCCCAGAACTCACTGCCCGGACTCATCATCACTGATCACATTCACCTGTACCTCATTCACTGATTGCATTCACCTGTGTCTCATCCTGTTAGTGTGTCTATATATACCTTGTGTTCACGTTCAGTGTTTGCGAAGTCTTGTTTAAGTGTTACACTGCATTTCTGAGCGTTTTCCGTGTTTGTTTTCTGGTTTTTGACGTTGGATTGTTCTTGGATTTTGATTACTGCTGCCTGCCCTGACCTCTGCCTGTTTCCCGGATTCCCACTGTGTATTCTCCATTGTCCTGTCTGCTAATTCTCGACCCTGCCTGTACGACTAATCTTAAATAAAGCTGCATTTGGATCTACATCTCCCAGTCTCGGAGCAGTTCATAACAGGGACAATGATAGACTATGCATGTATTTATAATTATTAAACTGCACTTTGTGTGAAATCTAGCAGAAGTAAATGGAAAAAACAAAACAAAATAAATAATAAAACAAAAAAACATCAACATAATACAGAAGAGGCCATGGATTTATTATTTTTCTTTCTTGTTTTCTTGTTATCTCAAAATAAAGGTTCAGCTCAGTAGACGTGACACGTCATTACAAATGTCAAAGTTTGCATTCTGAAATCGGAAGAATGATGTATGGTTTGTAACATATGCTCATACTTCTGAATTTACTTTACTGTTGTGCTTATTGATGTAGTATTGTAGTATTGTTTTTATTCATACAATAGGTTAACACTTTACTCATATGGAAACTGTAATTCTATTACAATGCCATAGACTGTCTTGAAAAGTCTGAAATGGATGTTGCTCAATATCGCTCATTTCGGCCAAAATATCAGGTTTAAATGTAGTGTGTGATGTTGCGTTTTTTCCTTGTCACGGTCACATCTCGCATGTGTTTGTTGTGAAACGTATGTAGTTTGCGCGCAGCGTGCTAGACAGTGTTGTCAGCGAATTTTCCTATTGTAAAGTCACGCAGTGTGACACCTTCTGTTGCCAATCCATGGTGCAGTGTGAACACAGCAGCGACTGAATGCTGGCCAAGATAGTCATGCAGTGTGAAAAGAACAGCGACCCGACTACTTTGAAAATCGTGCAGTCTGAACTCAGCATTAGGTACATGTGCCTTGGCTTGAGAATTACTCTGGAGTCAATTATCCCACATCGGGGATGGCTTGTCGGCCTGGGCCCTTGTGGCTAGGGGTTTCTGAATACGTCAGAGACGTTTGGTGCTCTCATAATGAGAAAACAACTTAAGAAAATTTCATGTTCATGAGAAAACGAGATGAGATGTATGTGAGATTGTTTAATAGATTGTTGTTGCTACTTTCCATAGACATCAGTGTGTATTTTACAAACTCCAAATGTATTGTTTTACTAGTGCTTATGAGTATTTAGATGTCTGAAACCTAAAATAAACATTATGTGAATGTATTAAACATATATAAAACCTGATATATATGACAAGCACTGAGTGCGTCAGTCTCTGGCTCAGCGTCAGCCAAACGGTAGAAGAACAGTTTATATCTGGCAGTCGCTCAAAATGTTAATGAACATCATACATCAACCATTAAATATATTGATCATAAATATATGGAAATATATTTTCTTTCTGTAAGGGAACAACACACACACAGCATATATATCTATACCACAACAATTCCTTATTTTAAGTAATCTAGCATTTACAGAGGTGTAAAGTCCAGGGGTCAGAAAGTAAAAGTCCTGCCATATGTTTATTGCACTCAGCCAGCTGAATTTACTAATTAATTCTATTCTCCTCTCTGGAAACTGTGCTAATTATTAAATCCAGGTGATTTGAACAAAATACTAAGGAGGACATTTACACCATGAGCATTTACTAACGCGTCCAGGAATAATCCTTCAGACTTAGATCATATATATAACCGATTATTAATCAAACTCATGTAACTTGTGATTCTGATTGTGTATTGTTTATAGATCCCTTAAAACTTACCCAGTCTCTCCAGTACTACAGTTGTATTGGCTGAAAGTACTCCAGCAAACACATGACACATGTAAACTCCTTTGTCCTCAATTCTGACACTCTTCAGTCTGAGAGAGAAGTTTCCTTTGGAGATTTCATCAGTGAAGAACTCAACTCTGTCTCTGTATTGCGCATCTGATGAACCTGGAAAAGCCTCATTGTTCTGGTAAAGCAGAACCGGGATATCTTCATCTTCATCTGTTTTCCTCCATGAAACCTCTTCAATGTGTTCAGGTTTGATGTGAGAGTCGACAGAGCAGTTCAGAGTGACGTCATCACCCGCATATGCAGATATGGAGCGACTCGATCCTGATACCCGCAGACGCTCTGAAAGAATAATGAAATATTTTAGTATTAATCTGTGTATTATTTGGATTTTTTTCAATTGAGTTCACACTCACCAACATCTTTTATGTGAACCACAGTCTCTCCTGAATCCTGCTGACTGTAAACTTTACATGTATATTCTCCCTCATCTTCAGCTGTCAGATTGTCCAGACGGAGGGAGAAGTTTCCATGTTGAATCTGATCAGTAAAGAAATGAGCTCTGTCCTGATAATCCTGCTGCTGGGCCTCTGGTCGACTCTCTCCATCTTGATACAGATGAACCAGAGTCTCTGAGTCTGTTCTTCTCCACTCCACCTCCAGACCCTTCACTGGTAAAGGTTTATCAGTATAACAGGGCAAAACCAGTGAAGATCCCAGAGGAGCAACCAGAGGAGCAGATGGACCTCGCAAAGTGAACCCTGAAACAAACAGATTAAACAAATTAAAGCTTGCTTGTAGTCCCCTTTCTGTCTGTCACTTTGACGTTGTGACAGAATACCAACACAAGGAGTCGCTCTTGAGAGCCACAAACACCTCTGACCTAATCAGAAAAGGCCAATGAAATTGACAAATTAAACTTGGATGTCTGGCCACTCTCCAAGCATGCTTTACTCATTCAGCTTTGTTCTTCGGACCCGGATGATGCGTCACTACTTCAGACTCAGAGAAGCGAATTCCATCTCCATCTCACGGCTGGACCATACAGCAAGAACCAATCAGGATCATTCTCGTGTTACGCCGCCTGTATCCAGGATCTTGTCCTTTCAGTCATGACCCAAAGCTCATGACCATAGGTGAGAGTAGGAACGTAGATTGACCGGTAAATCGAGAGCTTCGCCTTGCGGCTTCACCACAACAGACCGGTAAATCGACCGCATTACTGCAGAAGCTGCACCGATCCGTCTGTCAATCTCCCGTTCCATCCTTCCCTCACTCGTGAACAAAACCCCATGATGTTTAACCTCACAGGCCGGGAAGTACACCCGAGACTGTGCCTACCAACTTTTTTTCAATTTAATTCAAAGATTGAAATCAAGCATCCATGAGTTGCATAAACTCTTGACAAAAAAAATGACCCCATTGTAAAAAAACATTTAGGTGAGATCAATGTAATAAAAAAATGTCTAAAAAATGATAACTGATATTTATTTATCAATCTATCTTAAACATAAAATAACCTGATCCTGTTTGATCAAGGCGTGCGACTGTTTTTCAGCACCAATTTTCAGCATCAATTTATTTTGCATCTTGCATCAAAATCCTGTCTATTCATTGTATGCATTTAGTGTACCTAAAATAAAAAGTTTTATACACATAAGAGCCAGACCGATATATCGGCAGGCCGATATTAGGCATTTTCCAAACTATCAGTATCGGCAGTTATAATGGCAGATAAATGAATATTTCAAAAATAAAATAAAAACGGACGAAACACGCTTGAACCATGTCATGAGTGTTGGAGTTGTATAGTTTGTCCACTAGAGGGCACTTTACACCGTTCCTGTTGGCAACACTCGTTGAGTTGGTCACGATACATACATTACACTTGAATAACAATTAAAAGAACATCCGCATCAGTTCTCTTAACTCAAATAAGCATGACAAAATTTGTGACTATCATGTCCAGTTTTGCTGCTGTTAAATAAGCCGAGAGTGAAACGGAATTAGCCAGTAATAGTTACGTTACGTTGTTCCAGTGTAGTTGACTGACTGTTCTTTTAACTTTTGACAATGTGACTGAAGTATTTCTTTAATGGCGCGTGACCGTTATAGCAATGAGACGTACCATCTCTCCTTGGCCTGTTATATTGAAAATGTATGTTTTACAATTTGCAGTAAGACGTTATCCATTGCTAAATTATGGCTCATCATAGACTAGCTAATGCCACTATCATCAGTCTGTTCTGTTGTGACAATAAAAGAAACAAGTTTCTTTTTAAAATGCATTATTATATTATTATAGTTAAAACTCATAAATAACTACAAATAACTAATGTTAGGGAAATCTGTTAATGTTTTGTTGCACATTTCTGAAATATATAAAAAAAAAAAAATATATATATATATATATATATATATATATATATATACGTATATAAATATCAGCCGATATATTGGAATATCGGATTTTAAAACCAAAAAACATTTGTATCGGTATCGGCCTTCAAAACCTTTATCGGTCGGGCTCTAATACACAGGTTTGTGGCTTTTAATTTCTTTGGACAGTTTACAAGTGGTTAATTAAATAAGTTTACAAGTGGTTAATTAATACACTGTTCTTTTTATAAATATAGGATTTGTATTACACCTATATTCATTATAGTCTAATCGAGAATCGAATCAGGAATCAAAATCGAATCGAGAATCGAAATCGTATCGACTTGAGAGCTTGCAAATCGAAATCGAATCTGAACATCTGAATCGATACCGAGCTCTAATATATATATGAAGAGCTCTTTTCCAAAACGCGTTAAACGACATTTTTAAAAAAAATGAGTTTGTCGTGTCATTCTGCTGCGGACAGAACCCTTTCACTGCTCTATCAACGTTTCATGCCGAATCGCTATATTTCCTTGTTTAAAATGTACTGCAAGATACAGTTTCTTTCCAAACCACGATAAGCGCCAGCCCTGTTTTTAGCCTAAACACGATAAATCCTCAAATTCAATGAGCGCTCTACACAATCCAGCACGGCGGCACTCTGAACAGAGGTTTATTATGTTCATTTATTCCTCAAAATGAGTCCTAGTTTTCTAGTCGACTAGTAGTAGATCATTTAAGCCATTTGTATTATCAGTAATCACATATATTGATTTAATTAAATGGGAGAGAAACCATATGAGCGTTTTTAATTGCATATTCCGCATCTCAACGTATGCATAAAGCTTGCCACAAAGAACCGGCAAAAGTAATGATTATGCATGAAACATTTGAATTGTTTATTAATAAACTAGTGTTTTCTGTCAGTGTCAGCAACAAAGATAAAGTTGATGATGCTTACTCGCCATCTTCGCAGTGAACGCGCATAGAGAAACGCATACTTCGAATTAGCCTACATACGCAGAGAGTTGCCAATTTATTTTAGTTTTTAATTGTTTTGTTTAAAAGTAGATATTTAAAGCTTTCTGTAGCTTAGTTCTCAGGCCTGTGTGAGGCAAGCATCGCGGTGTTTCGGTTCATATTATGAGACGCGCTCCGGTTCACCTGCGCGCCTCTGTGTCCTGATTATATTGTCTGATATTTACTTCTAATGTATTAATCCAGTCAATTTGTCGATGAAACATTTATTAAAATGAAGATACAATTTATATGAAACGAAATTTACAAGCTTTCTACAAAACAAAACTTAATAAGTGGTCAAAATCATGTCTGACGCACTCCAAATATTTTCCGATATTGGGCAGCTTTTGAATTTTGATCCTATCTTACTCATCTCATGCGGTTCCCTTTTCATAGCCTACTCAACATAGATGAAATAATAAAAATAAGTAATGTAATATTATTAAAAACAAATGTGAAATGTTTATTTTTTTTTTTTAATTTTTTTTTTAACTTATATTTAAGCGTCATGCTGCTCCGCTTTGCTCACATGTTATGTAGCCTGTGTGTGTGTGCATGTGCTGGAGGGGTGCCCATCCCTTTTTTTTTAATATCGTTATCATATATTGATCATTTTTAATAATTCGTTTTTTTCATGCATATGTTGAAATTGGTATTAATAATTTGTTTTTTTCATGCATATGTTGAAATTGGTACTATTTGTTTGAGGTTTATTTCGATTTATAGCGTTTTGGAAAAAAATAAAATTAACTTTTAAATTATCATTAACAATATTGTTGTTTGATTTAATAATTATTGTTCAAAATGTTCAGACTGAACCAATAAAACATTTAAACAGGATAATTTGAATATTCACAAAATGTGTGGGTCTAGGTAAAAAATGTAGTTTTCCTGAAAACTATTGAAATGGATTTATAGCATTTTGGAAAAGAGCTCTTCATATATATATATATATATATATATATATATACACACACATATATCTTGTGCATAACCCCTCCCCATACAGTGGGGATCGCTTGAAGGCTTTCAGGAGTACCGATGCATATCAACATGCTGTGGCTGGATGGGTAAGAGACGTAAAAGTCCGGCACTTAGCCAACAAGGATTTATTTTTAATCATGGGAAATGTAATAAGTATTATAAAAAAAAAATATCAAATGTATGATTTTGGTGGTTGTTTTCTCAACTAGCTGTTTTCCACGGCTCGCGGCTAGCTGTCATTAATCTGGATTAGGCCTGTCACGATAATCAATAAATCAATTAATTGCACAATAAAAAAAAAATTTGCCAGATAATTTTTCCGGCCACTCTCACTCAAGAGACTGGGTGACAACTCTGTTTAAGACATAACTGACATATTTTACTTGAGTACTCTCAAAAACGGACATTTAAATATAATGTTGTGTGTATTTGTCCATTCAGACACGAAACAGAGCTCAATTCATTACTCGCGCGCTGTATAGGGGAACATGGCTGCATGCTTCGGTTCGGGTGTGTGTGCACAGAAAGATGAGACATGCAGCTCTTCTCTTCGAATGACAGCCAACCACTTCTTTCTTCTATCCTTTTCTTTTGGTAAAGAATAAAATATTTTAGATAAAATATTTAAAATAATTTTGCAGATGTCATGTGACCCGAACGAATTGGCCAACACTCGTGTGTGTGATGCGTGTAACGTACAACACAGAAGAGCTGCGCAGTTACACTACGTTACAGCACTACTAACTTTCTGTTTTAATTTTTTTATTTACTGTATTGTTATTTACTTTTATTCTAGGAGCTGCGACAATTCCTCTGTGGATGGTGGTGGTGTTTCTTCATTGTGTGCAGTGGTCTGTGGCTTTTACTGGGATTCTCTATTTGGTGTGTGAGTGTGTTATGCAGATTAGGAGATCCCTTATTATTGGAGCGTCTTTCCTGTAATTAAGCTGCAGCTCCAGAACAATGTTTGAGTGATTTATGATTATGCAAGACTGTTTTAAAGGTGATGTGTGAGGTTTTTGTTTTATCAAATCTTTTATACCGTCAGTGTCCCCTACAAAGTTTTTTTTTGTATTTGACTACAAAAAACGTATCTCCACGTTTTGCTGGCCAGTGCCACGATATATTATATAAAATCGATACATAATAACAGAGATCCCAGTCCAAATTATTCCTATTGAAAATTTAAATGCATCAGACAAACAAACTGTGTTCATGGTTCATGTCAAACAAGACACTTTCACTTTCTCTGTTTAAGAATAAAAGTTGCATGGCAGGTCATATCAGGTCACCAGGAAATGTAATCTGAGAAATAAAAAAACACCACAGCATATTCAAATGCATATTATTTTGTAAATCTCAAATGGTCAGTTTT